ATGGTGCCGCCCGCCGGCCCATTGCCCCGCCCGCCATGTGCATTCGACACACACGACAGTACACACCCGACGCACACACAGAGACACTGAGACACACAGCGACCGATCCTGATACGATGTGCAGCCACCAGGGCTCCGATCACGGCAGCTGTGCACAACCAACACATAATCGGACAGCCGACGGCCCCACAGACGACACAAAGTGAGGAAGACAGACCGTCACTGTGTGTCATGGCGTCCATTTATTTGTGTGTGTGCAGTCGACTTGCGCCCCCGGATGCGTGTGTTGTCGGTCGGCGGGGATTCCCTCGAGGAAAGTCTGCTGTTTGCCCTGACGAAGGAAGACAGTCAGTGAGGGGGAGAGAGAGAGGCCACACACACATGACATCCATCCATCCACTAGTGTGGGCATCGTGTCCCTCTGTGCGTGGCTTCACTTACAGAGATGGCTGAGCTGACACGTGAAGTCAACGAGCACGTCCTGAACAGACCGCTGCCCACAGAGGTGGGCTGACATACAAAGAGAGACACACAAGGGGCAGTGTGTAACGGCTGAAAGGCGTGGCTGTCTGTGTCTGTGTGGTCAGGCCTACGGAGGCGATGTCATTATCGAGTCGACGCAGCCCGAGGGCCGCACCTGATGCACTCATTCACATACATGACCATCCTCGGTGGGCACTGGCCTAACAGCCACGTGCGCTGTGTGCTCTGCATGATGGCAGTAATCCCATGTGGCTGTCATGTCGGTACGTCGCGTGCAGGTGTGCATTCGTGTGTGTTGAAGCTGCCTGGGCCTCGCTTACCTGATGATGTGTCGTTGACCTTTGTGGGCTTCAGTGAGTACGCCGTGATATCGAAGACCTATGTGTATGTGTGCTAATTAGCACTTTTGTGTCGATGGTACGTGCCGACGTCGACGTGTGTAAACAAGTGGACTGACTGACGTCGCGGCCACCGATTGTTAAGTGTCCATGTCACCCGCCACACACAGAAGAGTACAGACGTCAGCCGCGCCTCTGTATACCAACGATCGACGTGACATACACACATACGTATACAGTACATGTGTATTCTGACTGACTGTCTGCACGTGTCAGTGTGTGCACACAACTGCCGAACCACTTAATTACCCACGACAGTCATACGTACCGCATGGACAAAACAAACGGCAGCAAGGAAGGAATTCGAAATATGACACACAGCACACCCACTGCCTCTCTCTCGCTCACTTCGCTTCGGTTCCATCGACTGCTTCGATCGACGGACAGGCCGGCTGGCTGTCTGTCTGTGAATCGATGACCGCCCGTGTGCGCCGTGTGTGTGCCCACGTGACACGAGCGATTCACCGAGAAGAAGAACATAGACAGCAGTCGATTCAACACTCTGGTCAGCCACACGCACACAAACAAATAGAAGGCACCTACCGGTCTCTATCAACAAAGGCATGAGATCACGTCACATTTCGTTCTAATCAGTCGTCCCTCCCCATGCGGGGAATCAAGTCTTGAAGCGCATCGACTAGAGGCGGCCCAACATCCCCCTGGCCGCCTCCCGCCCGCCCCTCCCTCTGCTCATATCGATCGGCCACAGCGGCACTCACCAGCGCCTTCATCTCTCTGACATCCCTTGTCAGCTCGGCTAGCTCCTGCCTGATCTCGCTTATGGCTGCCTGTGCGTCGTCCGCCCGGCTGTCGTGCGCCTCCATCTCGTGTGCCATGTGCTGCGTGGCGTGCATGGTCTTGTAGAGCATGGCCGGCAGGTTGACGTACAGCGCCTTGTCGTCCCCCCTGTCCACACTGCTCTCGAACACCACCTCGGGCAACACGCTCCTCAACTCCTCTGCCAACACACCTGACAAGCATACAGACATGCAGACAGACACCCAGACACACGTACACTGTAAGCCTCCTATGCTCATCGGGCGAGAAACACCACCGACCGAATTGCCATTGGTCCGCGTAAGGGGCTCTGTCCCTGTGCGTCTCATCCCCATTAGCACGGTGTCGTTTGCGGTCCCTTTTCCATTGGAAGCTGTAGAAGTCTATCCTCTTGATGGCTTCGAACGCCTCCCGTCCGCTCATAGAGGCCATTTTGATGACGTGTGTCTTGTACCTGCCGTCGCTCAGCGCACCATAGTACTGACTGAAGAGGGCCCCGGCGTATACCTCGTACAGAGGGAAATCAGTCCCACACCCCAACATGCCTGCACACGCAACCAGCCATTCCATGTGTGTGTCCTTCAGCCTCTGTGTGTGTTCGGTGCAGGCAGGTGCAGGTGCGGTGTCCTCACCGAATCCCTGCAGGAGCGCCCTGTCAGCTTCCAGGTCGGCAGCCCCGAGAGTTGGGTCCTTGCCTGGACACACGTGAGGCGACAAACACGGACATAAGCGCAAGGCAATCATACGCCATGCACAGAGGATTGTTGTTGGCGGACCGCACTGGAAGGTGGCGTATTGGAAGAGTGAGGCTCCTGTTTTGTTGTTGACGGCGGGCGTGCCGATGAGCCCCTTGGCTGTGGCTGTGAGCACATTGCCGCCATCGGGCTTCGAGAGGTCATCGATTGCTCCGCTGTCCGGTGGATGAGGGAAAAGATGTGGTTGCGCCGCTGCTCTACGCGCCCGACAGAGCGACGCGATGAGGGCGACAAGCCGAAATACATCTGATACTGCAGTCATGTCGCTCACAGTGTAGAAGAGGGCAGCCGTTAACGTTGATGTAACATGACACGGTGAGGCTCTTTCACCCAACCTGCGTCACTCCATCCCTCTTCGCATTCTCGCAGCCCTTCAACTACAGCCCTTGACGTTGACAGCCCTTGTCTAAGCTCGCATTGGCCGATCGCTGCGAGGAGGTTTTTCTCATTGCAGGCCGGCGGGGAAACAACCAACATACTCATACAGCGTGGCTGGATGAGCGTGTGCAGCAGCACCTGGCAGGCACACCCACACACCGGCTTAGCAGAGAGGCACGAGTGTCCATTCATTTATGTGTTGAAACTGGCTTACTTGATGGATGTGTCGTTCACGTTTATGTGCTTCAGTGACCAAATAGGCCGCGTGACGGCGTTGGTGAGTGTGTGATTAGCACCCCGCACAGTGTGCGCTCACGAACAATGTGCACTCAGTCTGACTGACTGACGTCGCCGGCCACCGACTAGCAACTGTCCATGTCACCAGTCTCCCACAGACGCCTGTGCATGTACTGACGAATGCAACGTCGTCACATTTTTCCGTCAAGACATTAGCCATGGTTTACGTCAGTATTGACCGATCGGCACAGTACGAAGCCCCGCGCCTCTATGTCAGCTGCTCTCGGTGTACAAGTATTTGAGTCTGGTCATGTCACGCTCACACACATATGCAACGTCTCTCGCTGTCACGTCTGACCGACAGATCCGCAATATGAATGACGACGGGAAGTGACACACACATGAAGTGCATTCATGACAGTGAGCCCAAAGCTGAAGCGAAGACATCAGCAGTCCCACTGCCACCTCCAGCCTCACTGTTGTTTGTGGTCTAGACACCTCAACACCCATTGTATGAGCTCGAGAGGAGCGTCGCCATCATGATGAGACACTCGCATGTACCGTTATCCGTATCATGTGTACGTACGAAACAAAGGCAGTACGGCGTCAAGGCTGAAAAATGAAACAAAGAACAGCCATTCTTTTCCCCAAAGCCTTGATCGGTTGATGACTGCCCGTGTGTCTCCACGCGTACACAACACATCAATCCACCGGAAAAGAAGAACCAAGGCAAAGCAAGGCTGGCCCTCGCTCCCTCCCCTCTCCCCAGAAGATGGAGCCCATGGCCATTTCCCGCTGATCGTTGCGTGCCTCGGCAGTCAAATCACATTCACCGCTGCCAACTAATTTCGTCGATCCGTCCACCCGCACCCCCCCCCCCCCCCCCCCCCCCC